TTACAATTGTGATGTCATTCAATCCGTATGCTGTGAACGCGTCGCTCAAAATGTAAGACAGAGATGTAGATCAGCGTTAACCGAAAACATATGGAATGAACATGAAATGCCTTTGGGTTCTTAGAAAAATATTAAATAAGAAAAATCAATCAATCAAAATCAATAATCCTTTTGGTGTGTAAAGAACTATTTTTATGCCCCCGGATCGAAAGATCCCGGGGGTATATTGTTTTTGTCCTGTTTGTCTGTTTATCTGTTTGTCTGTCTGTCTGTTGTCAACTTTAACCTTGGCCATAACTTTTGATTGGTGGGAGCTATGACTTTCATATTTCACATGTGTATTCCCTGTGACAAGACCTTTCCTTGGGTACCATCATATTTGACCTTTTGACCTTAACGTTTGACCCACTTTTGCAAAATATTATGAGACTTTAACCTTGGCCATAACTTCTGAACAGTTAATGCTTGGGGTTTCAAACTTCACATGTGTATTCTTGGTGACAAGGCCTTCCTTTGGATACCAACAACTTTGACCTTTTGACCTTGACCTTGGAGTTTGACATACTTTTGAAAAACTTTAACCTTGGCCATAACTTTTGAACGGTTAGAGCTAGGGCTTTCATACTTCACATATGTAATCCTTGTGACAAGACCTTCCTTTGGATAACAACCACTTTGACCTTTTGACCTTGACCTAGGAGTTTGACCTACTTTTGAAAAACTTTAACCTTGGGCATAACTTTTGAACGGTTAGAGCTAGGGCTTTCATACTTTACATATGTACATGTAATACTTGTGACAAGACCTTCCTTTGGATAACAACCACTTTGACCTTTTGACCTTGACCTAGGAGTTTGACCTACTTGCGAAAAACTTTAACCTAGGCCATAACTTTTGAATGGTTGGTGCTAGGGCTTTCATACTTTACATATGAATCCTTGTGACAAGACCTTCCTTTGGATACCAACAACTTTGACCTTGACCTTGATGTTTTACTTACTTTTAAAAAACTTTAACCTTGGCCATAACTTTTGAACAGTTGCAGCTAGGGCTTTCAAATTTAACATTTTTTATCTTTTGGCCTGGATTTTGACTTGCATTTGAGAAACTTTAACCTTCGCCATAAGCTGCCATACGGTGGCATCAGTGTTTCACAAACACATCTTGTTTTAAGAATAGAATGATATTGTGTGTTCATATGTATGTTGGGTACCTGATATTTAGAAGATTCACTGGGAGGATATTGAATAATTAAGATGGTGTGTCACAAAGTTTGGAGGTTCGGCGTCACAAAGTTTTTAAGATCCGTAGAATGGCTAATTTTGTAATACTGAGTGAAAAATCAATGTTAGATATTTTTTAAATTCTACAAAAACGTTGCCATGTTATTAAGAAAAACATATCTATACAGAATTTTAATTGGGATGTCGTAAATGTGTACATGTAGCATTGTGTCACAATGAAATTTGACTGCAAAAACGTAACATTTAAATACGACACTCAATAAATTGCTTTCATTTTTAGAATTATTTTTTCTAATTTGGCACCATACAACATTAAACACAAAATGTGCATAATCAAAATTTCAATGAGATATAAAATTGAATTGATTCTTGATAGAAGTGTTTGTTTTAGAGGCTATCTGCGATGTCAACATTGAATGTCACACATTGTCCAAAACTAATAAATCTAATTATCATGGTACAACTGTGGTTGGATAAATCATATATGTAGTCAATAAATAAAGACACATTGAAAATCAAACGATTTTTATCAAATGTGAATCTCTTCAAAAAGTTATTAGTATATTCCAGATTAATATCAATTGAATGGTGACAAAATCCTAACAAAACATAAATGTTAACATGTTATGTCACAGACGTAAAAATAAGGCATTTTTGACGTTATTACGTGCACTTGCATAAAATATCATCTAAAACATTTAAAGATTTTATCCAAAAACTTACTCTTTTTGCTGATATGGATGAAATAAAAATGTACCAATAATGATTAATTTTATGAACAATTTAAAGTTCTGTCAGGTGTATTTATATATAGAAGCAAAAAAAGTACAGTGTATACACTGTATCAGTATATATCCTTGTCAGAATCGGTCCAAAAGTACTCATCACTCGCATTTCGAAATTTAGAAAAGAGAAAAAAAAAGCACATACACCAAAATTTATATAAGGATAACGATTTCAAATTTGAATTTCCTGGCAATAAAGTGTGTCAATCCTATTTGCTGCTGTCAAACCGTACTACATGGGGCATTGAAAGGCATTTTACATTGGGTAGTCGAATATTGATTAAGGGGTGGGGTGGGGTTTGTTGAAGGTTGTGATTTGACTTAAATTTCAGATTTTCACTAGCATATTGATAATTATTTCTTTTTGTCATCAACCCGGTAGCATTTGAAATAAAACAAAGTTGTATTTTATTATGCTACCGTGAACAAAAATAGGTGTGCAAACAACATTCAAAATGGCCGACGTTGTCATGGAAACAGCATTAGGCGAGATCGGGGTATATTACGCTATTTCTTCTAATTACAAATCTTTGTTTTTCATTTGAACTAAAAAATGAAAATATTTGGATATAAGTAACTTGCCCTTCCTTTTTTCATCTTTTCATTATTTATCTATTTAAGTACTGCTTCATTTTCTTCTTTGAAATTTATAAAAATAATGCTTCTAAATGCATCTAAACCGACCAAAATGATAACCATTTATTTAAACAAGTCTAGTTTAGGGAAAAGATACTGCCTCTATACAATCCCCTGTACAGCCTTTCCAGAAACCCAGAAACGGACCCAAAGACCTCATCAAACTCGGCATACCTTGGCCGATTCGTGCATGTACCTCATCTAATTTGATATTTTAATAGTTTGATGAAAGGTGGAATCATCCGAGGTTTGCCGAATGGACCTCGTTATAGTTTATCCACGGATAGGGTATAAAGGGTGTAAACAAGATATGAGTATCAAAAAAGAAAAATATATATCATACATATATCAATATTTTGACATGTGTATCATGATGTGTATTGATACGTGTAACTTTCCAGTTTTGTTCTATAAAACAGTTTTTAAACATAACTTCAAAAATTTCATTTCAATATTGACAGGTGTAAATGTATTCTGCTATCTACTCGTACAAATACAAATAAGAATACAGAAAAAGAAACGAATTACATTTTGTAAAGCAGGAAATGACGTAGATTCTTTTAATTGTTTTTCATTCGTATAAAAAAGAAGGTATTTCAGATAATCGATTTCAAGCGAAAAGTATTACCATATCTCGGGATATCGTTACACCTCTTGTTAACAGGCCCGTAGCCACGGTTTCAAAAGTTGGGGGGGGAGGGGGGCAACTTCTCAAAAAATCTGACAAGCACGAAAAAAAAACCCTATACTGACCAAAAAAGTGAGAGAGCCAACTGGTATAAAACACGCCTAAGGAATTTGAAATGAGATGGTCGATTAATATTTTTAATCCTTTCATTCTTGAAATTGAAATGCTACGAAAGCCTATTAGGATCAAACTACGGTGAAAAAAAAATTTAAAAGGCGTTATAACGCCTTTTAAAAAGGCGTAACGCGAAAAAAGGCGTAATAACGCCTTTTGAAAAGGTAAATTAAAGGTAAACTGCATAAGTATCCCAATGAGTACGAAACCTACGATCATTATCCAGATCTGTGAGGCACATTGCAACGCATATACATGTAAATTGGGGGGGGGGGGTTAAGGAAAAAACTTAAATATTTTTTGAATAAATACAAAACCTCGAAACTGCCGCACATCGAAAATCCTTTTCATTGAGAAAGTTGGGGGGGGGGGGGGTCTCGGTTTCGTTTCCTCTCCTTTTTTAAATGAATTATTTGAAATAGTTAGATCTACTTTAACAAAAAGAAGTACTCAGTATGTAAGTGTCTGTGCGAGGGTGGGGCTTAAAGGTGAGGTGGGGATTGGGGCTTTTTATGAAAAAAAATAAATTCATTGCTATAAATCAGCAACATATCTACACTATACTGAAAACAGAGGGCTGGTACTAGGGCATACTGATATGACATGGAATTCTTTTGAATGTATCTCAATGAAATAAAAAGTAGGTAAATTTAAGATATGATGTCAAATAAATTTTGTAATTTCTACCGAGCTTTTCATTAAATGAGGCAAATTATGCACATATTTCCCTCCCGCAATATGCATGCAAAATAGCAGAGAATTTAATTATTTTCAATGAACTGCATTGTATATTTGGCAACATAATAGGTTTATATTTTTTCTTTCAAAGAAAATGTAGGTCAAAAAAGATACGTCAAATTAATTGTCTAATGTCACGTAATCTAACGTCATTTTGACGTTACCGAAATTGACACTAACATGGTGCTCTAGTATACAAGAATTTTTTAAATATTTAATACTAAACGTACTTTCGTAGTTTTTAATGGTCAGAAAGACTTTTAAATAATAGATATATGAAAATGGGACCAAAATACCGTATCTTTGTACATTAAATAATCTTCAAAGACTAAGAGAGGCTAATGTGAGGGTGAATGAAATGTGTTAATAGTGTTGCAGTACTATTGTTTTGTTTAGTCTGCATGAGGATAGTGACAAATGGGGGAAAGTAGAAGCAAATAAGTAGATCAACTTTAAGATTTGTTACTTAGTACTAAATGAATATTTTCCCGATCCCTGATCATCCTATTTCTCTTGCTTTTGGGCAACATAGCTTTATTTATCAGCTTATTTTGTTTAAATCAATGGATATAAATTACATACATGTACTCAGTTGACGTGAAGGCCCCTAGGCCTCTTGTTTTTATTAATTGAATTTGATACAGCTCCTTGAAAATACTCCAAGACTGATTAATATTGATTTCCTGTTTGAATTGTCTCTTTTTCCCATTTATTGAGAGCAATGTTAATTCATTAAGCTATGCACAGAGAGTGAAAGAGAGAGACTTAAACAGTCCTCTTTGAAATTTCTCTCAGGATTTTAAAGCGGCTGGACATACGTGGACCAGAGCTCTGTGTATGAAGGACTCGGACGGAGATGGTAGGACTAATGGTCAGGAACTGGGGGATCCGAACTGTCACTGGACTGAGGGAGGTACACCAAAAGAGAGTTCTACAGGACACCCAGGTACTGATAAAAATTTAAATAAAGCGATGGCCACTTCACTAAATGTTTTATATTGTTAACCTGATAACCCTACTTGCACTACTTAGGATGGTTACATTAAATGTTAAAAGTACGGTATACGAGAAATTCTTATAAGAAACAATTATATTTTTACTTAGATACATGTAATATTCTTTTGAAATTTTGGAAATCTAATTAAGGAATAAAATGTGGTCAAATACAGTGTATAATGTATTATGTTTTGTCCGTTTTTCAAGGTATTTGTGAACCTGTTGGATCTGGGGTATGTGCATCAGTTGTATTTGCCTGCGGATGCCATGGATCGGCTTGTGTTTCACGAAATTAATAGTAGATGTTTCTTTAAATAAAAAATAAATAAAAATATTGGATCTGAAGATTTTTTTTTTTATTTTTAATTCATTTTTATTTATTTTATAAATGAATTGAATAATATACAACTAAAAATGTTTTTAATGAAGTGATTAGATTCTGTGTTAACTAGATGTGTATTTTACTAAACATTTATTTGTTCCCCTTTTTCATCTATAATAGTACAACTAACCCTAATCTGTTGCTTGATAATTCACTTGAGGACCTTTTTCCATCTTGCACATGTCAAATAACCTATTTTCAATGTTGTACGCTTAGAATATGCCAGATATAAAGAAAATTGTTCTTATATTTATGTATAAAGAGGGATGATAAACAAATTAGTTATTATATAGTAGTTGCCAAAAAAATCATTTGGACAATCAAACTAGCATATAATTATGCAGAGTTGTTAAAATCTATCTTGTTTATAATTAAGCTCATTAAGATCGATAGAGAACACAAAGCCTAAGTTTTACAAATGATGTGTAACAAAGTGTGTCGTTAAAGCCAACACATTTTTAGAATTTAATTTTCAAGTCATTGGTACATAATGTTTAAATATGAGACGAAATGTAAACGATTTGAAAGAAACACGTTTTCTTTTCGGCTACTTCTAAAATTCCTTTTATTGATTGATAAAATCAATATATTCAGAACTTAAAATTTGTCAAGGACATAAAATATTAAGGATAGGGGGCTCGTGAAATATTGAAGCACAGTATAATGATTTACCAGCAGAAGGATATTACATAATTTTAAGTAATCGTCAGCATGGGATGCTGTGGGTATGTTTGTAGAGGAAAGAAGTAGGCTTTGTTTTCTGTTTCTTTTGGACGTTTTTGTTTAGTTTCTGTTTTATTCATATGTTAAAACTTTATTTGGATCTTTGATGTTACCTGAAGAATGTGTTATGTTCAAACTGGACTTGTTTAAAACAGATCCATCAGAAAAGTATAAGTGAGTATGATATTTTTTAATTCTATATTTGTGAATCGTGATTAAATATTGATTGTAATATTAAGAGTCTTAGATTTGAATGACATAATAATCAAAATTTTATTCGTCTCAAGAAGCCTATCTGCAACATACAAAGTCATTTGTAAATGTTTTCATTTCGTTTAAAATTTGGGAAAAGAAAGGATCTTTATTACTTTCGAAATCGGACTTGATTGACGAAGAGGATCCCATACGATTCATTAAAAATTATTACAGTAACTGTATTCTACATGTATATAAATAAGAGACCGCACAAGTCACTGAGTTTCATTTAATTATTTACCATATTTAATCACTCATTCACGTTTCAGTCACGTCAAATAGACAAATTTAACATGCTAACATTGAGAAATAATATGGTATTTTCCAGAGGGTTTAATTTGTGGCCTCATTGATATGGTTCAATACAAGTTTACCGATGGAGTAAAACTTTAAGAATGTGTTTAAACTACCTGCGAATCGTGTTTAAAGCAAGTCAGATTTGAAGATTAGACAATGTAATTCATTAAGTTATCATTTCCGATTTTAAAAATTTCAAAATCGTATTCGACATTAAAGTAGATTAAGATAATCGCTAATGTAAACCAACACTGCAATTCTGCCTTAACATTATACAGCTATTGACCGATTTGATCTACCATGACCTGCAAAATAAAAAAAAGAAATAAACCCATTGTATTCACAAAGCCAGGTAGAATATATTCTCAGTCATGGATATTCAGTGGCTGGCATTTAATATCTCATAGCAATATATCAAACAAACAATTAAAGACCAGTAGTGCTTGAAAGTCAGGGACGATAACTCTAAAATTCCAATATGGACGGTGAATATCCGATATGTTCCAAGATTGTAATCGTTACCAATTAAACAATAGTCGGGACAAGCTAAGACCGATAGATACTCATTTTGTGCACTGTCTAAAATTTACCATGACTGGATTTATAAATCTATATAAAGCCATGGGATAAACACTGGAGTGTACTCCAAAGGTAAGTATGCTCGTCCAATTGATTTTTTGAGAATCTGTCTGTTGCTATGAGCTGATACGGCTGATGTAAATAATACTGTATGGATGGAAATGAATTATTACATTGAAAAATGTATTCTTATCCAATTATTTCTTTGTTTTTAATTGATTGGAAACATTGGCATACATGTACATTTGTGTACATGGAGTTTTGAATATTTCCCAATAAGGCGTGAATTATTTATGTAGGAATTGATTCTTTAAATTAATTGAACTTGTCACTGTAAATCACATGTATCTCTCAAGTTAATGCACTAGTATAATTTTCCTTCGGTGGATTTGCACTACCGTACAGTACAGAGAGATTAACTGACCCTTCAATTTGGAGTAAGATTAAATCAGACCAATAGTCCTTATTTAAGACCTTTCACTCAAGTTAATCCAAACAAGACCTGTGCAAAACGGTTTAGGCTCTAATTGGATATTCCATTTAACCATCATGTTTATGAGGTATTTTTTTAAAGTAAAAATGATATGGTTAATAATTTTATGCGGCTTCTTTACAAGTGTCTGGGACACTTTGTAAAATTTGTAATTTGTAAAATTCCAAGAACCCAGAAATGGGAAAAGGACATGTTGCTGAAATCAAAAAAAAATTTTCTGTAATACATCATTAAATCTTTGTATTTCTTTACCTATAACACCAAGTTTTCATGAGTTTCTCTCTTATTTAAAAACCAATGCTTTCAATTATTTGTTTGCAGTTGTGTTTAGTAAATAAATACTTGTCGATATTTATTTTTAAATTGTAGTCTTGGTATAATACATGTGTATATATTTTTATCCTCTTTTCCTGAGCAGAATGGGTTGTGGATCTAGTTATGATGCCTCAGATGGCCCTAGAACGGTTGTTGTCTTTGGCGCCACTGGGATCCTAGGTGGCGCTATTGCCAAGCGATTGCTCCAAGAACCATTCCTGTATAAAGTTCGGTGTGTAACTCGACGCTCTTCCAGCGACAAAGCTCGTCAGTTAGCAGAACATGGTGAGAAAAAGACAGAAAGCGTAACATTTCAAATTTCAAATTCTCATTCGCAGTGCTATCTAATGATTAGACTATTTACTTATCTTTCTTTAGTCCGTCAAATCCAGTCATTTGTGCTTAATTGGCATATTTATGGAAATGTATGGCTTATTTACCACTACAATATAACTTAAATACCGATTTCCACTTTTTCCCGTTATTGTGTTAAATTACACGTGATATTTTGTCTCGAACTTTGCAGGAGCAGTGATTGTTAACGCAGATCTCGGGGAGACAAAAAGTTTGGAGAAGGCGCTAGAGGGCGCCGATATCATGTTCTTAACAACCCATTATTGGGAGGACAGAAACAAGGAAAAGGAAGTGATAAAGGTATGCCGGGATTGATATAAGTATTTCGAATTGAATATAGGCATGTCAGAATCCATTCACACTTGTTAAGATATATACTAATACTTGTTAAGATATAAACTAGAGTGTTATTATATACACGTGACTCAAATGTCAAGATTGATTCAAACTTATCTAGATTCTGGTAAAGTGGAAAGGTACGTAAAAACAGAGGCTTCCTTTATAACGTGATATTGATAAACATAAATACTAGGAAAACCATGATATACATGTAATTATGCGCAGACAGACATTGACGTTAGAATAATGTTTATAAATGTATGTCAATACTGTTGATAAAGGTATATCGATACTTGGTATGTCAATTCTGAGGGTGACGTTAAAACTATGCTTATAAAGATATATCAGTAAAGTTAGGAATGCTATAATAATGGTATGTTGCCTGTATGCTCAGAATTCTATGAATGTTATGAAATATAAATTTAAGTCAAGTTGGCCTGACCTGACAATTAGCTGAAACAAAGGTTTATTGTACTAACCTCTGTGTATACTTTATAACGTACACGGTGCAGTTGCAAATACTAGTAGACATGAAGTAATGCCCCTATTGATCTAATATACCCATCAGCTCATAATGTATGAAGAAACCTGTAAACTACAAATCTGTATGGAAGATCAAGTTATGCAACATTTAAAAAACATAATATACAACGAGTCAAAATTTTGTACAATTATTATTTCATTCTCTTCTATTAGTGATGTGTAATAGTCAAAATATTGGACAGCTGCCTTACTAGGATACATAAAAAATATTCCTTCTTATACTATACATCACTCTTTAGCATACATATGAAATATCACCACATAAACTAAATAACACTCTTTAGCCTACATACATGTATGAAATATCACCACATAAACTAAATAACACTCTTTAGCCTATATATGTGTTTGAAATATCACCACGTAAACTAAATAACACTCTTTAGCCTACCGGTACAAATGAAATATCACCACATAAACTAAATAACAGCCTTTATCTTACATGCATGTATGAAATATCACCATATAAACTAAATAACACTCTTTAGCCTACATATGAAATATCACCACATAAACTAAATAACACTCTTTAGACTACCGGTACAAATGAAATATCACCACATAAACTAAATAACACCCTTTATCTTACATGCATGTATGAAATATCACCACATAAACTAAATAACACTCTTTAGCCTACATCTGAAATATCACCACATAAATTAAATAACACTCTTTAGCTTACATGCATCTATGAAATATCACCAAATGTACTAAATAACACTCTTTAGCCTATATATGAAAAACCCAAAATATATACTCTGAATCACTCCTAAGTATGCATATGAAATAACACAGATAAATAATACATTACTCCTCAGCATACATATGAAATATCATGACTTGTGTACTCTACATAACCTAAAATACATATAAAATGTCATTATATAATCTATACACCACTCTCTAGCAAAGATATGAAATGTTACCAAATAAACTAATCAATACCTTCTTTTAAGCATTTAAAATATAATCACATAAACTATATTTCACTCTGAAGCATTCACTTGAAATGTCAACACATTAACTATACAGTATTCTCTGGGATACGTATGAATTCTCACCAAATAAACTGTAGTTACATGGCCGTAGGAACCGGTGGGGGGGGGGGGGCAATAATTTTGCCGATAGATAGATTACTATAGAAAATATAGCTACTATATGCTTGTGCCCCCTCAATGAAAACGTCTGATGACCTTTTTTTTTTTTTTTTTTTTTGCGCTTGTCAAGGAAATTCTGGTAGTTGATAGTGCCCCCTCAACTGAAAATGTATGGCTGTGGCCCCCAAACTGAAATTGCTTCCTACGGGCCTGAGTTAACTCTATAGCATACATATGAAATATAATATCAACATATACACTTGATATAAATCACTACATAAGAAATATCACCCATAAATTATATATACTCTCTAGCATACATCTGACTTGTGAAATATCGCCCATGAACTACACATTGTCCTTCAGCATACAACAAGCTCTTTATGTCACTAAAATACATATGAAATATCACCCATAAACTAAACATAACCCTTCACCATACATAAATAGAATATTGCCACCGACACATACATGTACCTACTCTACATAAATCCCTATAATACATATAAATATTATCATATAAATTATTCATCACTCTCTAGCATACATATGAAAAATCACCCATCAACTAAATATCACTCTTCAGCATACCACAAACACTTTACTTTACTCTATAGAATACATATGAGAAATCACCCATCAACTATACGCACGTCACTCTTTAGCATGCATATGAAATATCACCACATACACTATACATCACGCTCTAGAATACATATGAAATATTACCACATAAGTATACATCATTTTCTAGAATGCATACATGTATGAATTATCACCACATAAACTATACATCGCTTTCTGTAATACATATGAAATATCACCCATTAACTAAACATCACACTCATAGAATGCACATGAAAAATCACCGCTACCAGTATATACATGTACATATATATCATCTAAGGAAAAATTCTCCGATCAATACCGGTGTGATGATAGTAAAAGAAAATGTTCCTGTGATCATATATTTGATACTTTCAGGGACTGAACGCCATTGATGCAGCAATACAATGTGGCGTAAAACATATCATATTTAACGGGTCAGAAAATGTTAAGAAACTTATAGGAAAAGAATGTAATCATCTCGACTCCAAGTCAGCTATAGAGGAGTATATCAGAGAAGTGGGTAAGTATCTCAATGGTTTCTCTTCCATTTTGTTAACAGTATTATTTTGCTTGAATGATCATAAACAAGACATTCATTTTTTTCTTTCATCCATTTACCACTAAATTATGCGAAAATTTTATTATATATAAAAATCATTTGAGAAAAGATTGTGATTTTTAAAAATTTCTTTGGGACTCTATGAGGGAATTTTAAAAATAGCAAAAGAATCTAAACATATTTCATCTGAAGATAATAATAACACGAATCTCCTGTCTGAGTTAAAATCGTTAAACAACTTTTTTTCAACTTTACTTGGTTGCATATAAATTTATAAATGATCAGGAAAGATAACTCAAAATCACGACAAATTTAGCCTCTGCATATAAGGAGACCATTCTAGCTTTTTGCACAGTATTATCTATGTCATTTTCTATCATTTACTCACTGCTTTACAAAGACAACCCCTCGGAGGACGTCACGGGTTTAAATCACGTGATGCCGGGTAAGTTAGAGAGTTAGGCTGCATGTCTCATGGTTGACAGTTCCTAAGGTTATTCAGAAAAGTGGCACCTAATGCGTTTTTTTTCTTTCTGGAGAAAAAAATGGGGATTAGTAAATGTAACGGTTCTATCCAAAAATAATAATAATAACAATATTTATTAATAGTAATAAAAATTAAAAAATATATATCAAAAAATTGTTTTAAATTAATACACAATAAACATCTTTGAAAATAAATTCCTGATGGTGATCTTTGAGAAAGCGTTTTAGTGCCACAAAAATACTCATTGCATGTTGTTCATTATAAGAACCTAAGAGACTGTCATTAGCGTAATCATAGCAAGAATGGAATGACGTAATTTTGTGTTTTTTGTTAGTGGCGCTTGTCTTACGTTTCATACAAGCTATAGGCATTAAAATATAAAATATGAGCAGAGAAAAAACATTATTAAAACCAAGATGATTATATAACCTCTAATATTAAAAGATGAAACAAAAAGGACGTGTATTGATATACAGAATACTATAAATAATCGAAGTCCCGATTTAAAGATGATTGGAATATTCATTCAACCATTCGTACAATAAATAAACTCTTTCACAATTCTAGGAGTTTGTGATCAAAACTACAATTTTTCTTTCGATTTTATGTTTATTTAACACTTACCATATTTTACGACAGTTATTTGCAAAATAAAACAAAGATGATTTCTGCATGATTTAGAATTTTACTTTGAAATTTACCATAAAACTGATTTTAAGTGATTTTACATCATCTCTGAAGTAACGAGTTTTGATATTTTTCTGTAACAGAGGTAACAACGAATGATATAGGTAATTAAAGGTCACACTATATCTCTCATAGTTCTTCCTGTGACCTACATATATCTACTTTATCATTAATACATATCAATGACTTCTTAAGTCTTTTCTGTTAAACAGTTGTCCACTCTCGGCAGCTAACATTTTGGACAGAATTTTTGCGCCTCTTGCAATAATTTACAACACTGCTTATCTTAATAGTAGACTTCAATGCTTTTAACGAGTTCCTTATTATTTTGAGGAATAGACTAAAACTTAATGATAAGGGTGTGGATAGTTATATTTCTTTGTGTATAGTAAGGAAAGGTCTATATCACTCATGCCTAGTTAAAAAGGAGAAAAAGAATGGTAAAGGACAAGGTATGCTAACGGCCGAATCTGGCCCCTTTTTTGATGTAAAAATCAGAAAACAGTTAAAATTGTGATAGTTTGTAGTTAAGATCTTAAAATGATGCTTGTTTTAAAACCAGCACTAATTATGATTCAAAGCTTACACGGAGGCCACTAGATGGTGCCGTAGTAGGACATTTTCCCGAATTTCCTCAATTCTGGTGGAATTTCGTCAAATTTGAGATACTTTTCACTTCGGGAAACATAGAGCACAAGCTTGCCTATCTGAGATTTTTATACGCAAGATGCATCTGATGCTAGAGTATGAAATATATCAATTTGGTAGATAGGCAAGCTTGTGCTCTATGTTTTCTGAAAAAAATGTGCTGTAAAATTGATGAAAATTTGCATAAAAATGAGAAAATTCGGAAAATGACATTTTCCGACCTTCCTCTAACCTCTGTGTATCCCATAACTTAGAACCAATACTCATTTTGTAGCAAGGGTGACACCAGGTTTTTATTGATAAACTGTTGCATCATTCTTAAAGACACCCCAAACCAATGGCCAAATAGGGATCTTAGCCTATCTTGTCCTTTACTTACCTTTGATCAATTAAATATCAAAGTTTACATTGACATTCTTTTGTATAAAAATAATAGATACAACTGTATAGACAAAGTAAATTATTTTAAAACTTCATGTACTTATTTGTATCATGAACACACAAAAGTAAGATGAGTTATACATTGTAGCCTTCCTTTTGACTAAAATATTCTCTTTGTTAGTGACCTTGTAGTTGTTTTATCTTACTGTCAGTAAATATGCCGTTGTAATGTATGAAGCATTTCTGTTTGTTCTGCTTGATTTTGTAGGGGTCTATGTGGGCAATGTCTTTTTGAAAAATTGCGGTGAATATTCTTGCCGAGACTACTATTAGATTCTATAGAGTATGATGCTATAGATTATAGAGCTATTCTAAGTTGGCTGGCTTAAGCTTGCTGTTTGTAGACATACTTATATATTTTTTTCCTATATATCGATCTGAAACAGATGTACTTTGTAGTGGAATAGTAAAAACCTTTGCAAGTGTTTTTTTTTTTTTTGCAGAGGATAACTGCTACACCAAAATCTTTGACCAAACTACATGTAGTACCGTTTTCCAAATATTATCAAACAAACATATTATATAGAAAGTACCCTACATTATAAGAGTTTCCATGAGGAGAAAGTCCCACAAACTTCACACAATCGGTTATATGTCCTGATAAATTAATAATCAATCAAACTAAGAAAGCCTCAAGCTAGGAAACTTTCTTTTCTTTCAAATTTTAATTTGATTCTAAATTGTACAAATAACTAGAACTTCATGAAATCTCTGTGTTTACTTCGCAACAGAGGGGCTAGTTGGTAAGTGATCATTTGATAACATGTACTAAACGTCACTTGCTGATAAATCGCACCCCTTGAAACCCATATAATTCAGAAACATATTGTCCTGGGGTGACTTTTATTATGAAAAAAAAACAATCATTTTGAAGACAGTTAACATCATATCTATGCTATTTGTATTTTAAAAGAAAATTCCACATATAAATCGATGTCTTTCATTTGGCACCATTGTATGATGTAAATGAAATTGCATGTTCTTAACAGTGCAGTTAGTGGGTAAGTTTTCTGCAGTAAAGAACACATTAATTAACGTTTCAGCAGACATTAATTTTGTATTGTAAACTTCTTACCTTGGTCTTTTTTAATGCAACTCCCCACACCAGCTATATGTTTGGCACCGGTTCCCACTCTACGAAAATGTTCAATGTATGCATAGTTATGTCTGGTTTAAGCTCCCGCATAATTAAAAAATGTTACTTGATCGCACATTTATGGTAGGGCATCCCTACGCAATTTTCGATAACTTTTTTGTCCCAATAAAGGAAAGACAACTACTGTTGGGTTTCAAAATGGGGAAACATACAAAAGAAAAAAAAGCTTTGACCTCAGTTGTCTTTCTTGGTAACCCATGCCTTTCAAGCTGTTCTTTTAAATGGTGTTTTAAAAATTCATGTGGATCAATAAAGTATCGGGTGCGATGTCGATCACTTGTACGGATTATGTGTGCACAAGGTATAGCATTGTTTCCCCATTTTTGGACAACCTTTCTGGAGTTTATATATATATATATATATATATATATATATATATATATATATATATATATATATATATATATATATATATATATATAGGCCTTTTTTAGAATCAGATAATTGAACTCTGATTTAAGATCGTTTACTCCAAAAAATGTATTGATTTTATTTCACTTTGTTCTTTCTCACACAACAAAACCACCCAGAACACTCCAGTCCTCTGTGTGTGACGTGTTGTTTATTTTATATACGATATTTTTCGTGGAATTTAATTAATATTCTTTTTTATGAATTTAAAGGAATATAAGGATAAAGAAAGCTCAATTGTATTATCATTGTTCATCCAGTATTACTAGTTCTGCAAATATCAGATAAACAAGTCTACATTTACCAAACAAGACAAAAGTATATATATATATATATTTTTTTTTTGATAACTGAGTCTTGTGGTGTATTTCAGGTTCCTCGTCAGGTAAAACCACGCGGCACTAAGTGTATAGGACTAAACAATTGTATAGTTTCCACTTACCAATATATACACGGAATTTTCTGCATTAATAATTGTCCCACCACTGTGTCGTCCATCCCTTTGTGCAAAATCGGTGTAAATATTTTTTATTTTAGAAAAGCAGAATTCAGCACAATGCATGAAGTACATGTAGCCCTGTTTCTTTATTACATGTAGATGCATGATATCCTTAGGTATACGTACAACAGTGCTTTAAAATGAAATATCAATTCGAATGTTCTACAGATATTTGTAATATTCTTATATTCTGTCTTCCCTTTTTCTTTTTGAAAGTACATGTATGTTTAAGTTATATAATTTCTATGGTAGATAATGCAGTATGTACTTGTATATACTCTGATTATTTGTCATTCTGAACTCCACTTTGTAGTGTAGAATTTTCAACATGTTCAAATTCCTTAACAGAATTGAATTGACTTTTAATTCATAATACACTAACCATTTTTTAATCAAAACACAGAATGTTATAATTTGGCTCTCGATTTATTTTTTGATATTTTTTGTTATACAAATATAATGAAAAAACTTGTCCTAATAATATATTTATAATAATATATCTATAATGTATTATAAAAATCATATTCAATTTTGAAATTTGCAGGAATAAATTTTACTATTCTGCGTCTCCCTTTCTGGTTCGAGAATTTTTATACAGTCTTCAAGCCGCATAAACTAAAACATGCAGTGTACGCCGTCGGTAAGTAAATAAATCTAAGTACCTGGCACTAAGACACAGAGAAATCGATTCTGTAATTCTGCTCTTAATGTCTTTCTCAAAGATTTTTTTCTCAGAATAACGACACTATATGATTCTTAAGATTTTGAAACGGATTACAGATTTGATTTTGAATACCTATCATTTATTTAAGAGTATACAGTGGTAAGTTGTTAAGTAATATTTTTTGCAGCCTTACCGCTAGAGGGCGCTGAACTGGACATGATGTCTGTTGATGATATAGGTGAAGTTATTGTATCGATTCTTAGAAGGCCAAAGCAGTATTATGGAAAGACATTGAACCTATCTGTAGAAAAACTTTCTATGGAAGAAATAGTCGATACATTTAACAGACATTTCGACAACAGGAAATTTACAGACCCAAAGGTAAACTCATTGAACGCCAAAATGTGTGAAATCAAGAAGTGCTTTTGAGTTTTAACTTCAAGATTTTCCTTAAAACATTTTAATATTGATTAATTAGACCCTCCATGTTAAAACAAATTCAAGTCCGAAAAATAAGATTTCAATTGCTGGTTGACTCATTTCAGGGCAGTAGCCATTAAATTTTGTATATGAACACTGGTGGTAGTATAATTTGGTAGCTTTCTTTTCAGCAATACCATTGATTAGGGTTTATATTTCTTTTTTAGATTAGAGTAAAAGACATGGAAAAATTTCAGTTTCCAGGCGCTAAGGATTTGGCTGCAATGTTTGAATTTTATCAGAGTGGACAGGCTATAAGAGACGTCAGATTAACCAAAAGATTAAACCCACATGCAATATCTTTTGACAGATGGTTGTCTGAAAATAGAGACAAAGTGGAAGAAGCTTTACGTGAATCTAATTGAAAATTCTTATATCCGAATGAATCTTTTTTGCAATTAAAAACAAAAGAATTATGGTCTGAGCAGCTGACTGTAGCTGCCAAAAGTGAATACTTTGGTTGTTTACGACAATGACGTCAATAATGATCCAGGGTTGTCATCGGGTTTCTGGAAAAGGTCACGGAGGAAAAGATTTTTATTTAAACATGTGAATTTTTGTCTGTGACAACCAATTTGGTGGTTTCTAATTTCATTTTTGAAAGTCGTAATTTTTATGCCCCCGGATCGAAAGATCCCGGGGGTATATTGTTTTCCCAAAAATTCGATAAAATCAGACAGTATTAGTTTAAAAAGATGGATATTGAATTTATTTAATTTTTTTCCGAATTTTCTTTTGAAAAGAAAATGCGATCGCATCCCATGCACCTCTCCTTCTAACGACCTTGTAATTTAATAGTTTACACTAGTCATCTATTGTATTTTAATCATTTACAGAAACGACGAATCTGATGGCGTACAGTGATATTATATTTGTCGAAGTATTTTGGAAAATATGCATTTAAACATGTACATTTATTATGTATTACAACCAATCAATTTTACTTCAGCCATAAGATACCTTGTAATTATGCAATACTCATTTTATCATATTTTTCTGCCAAACTGTGATAAACTTTTATTCTTTTGTAAATAAAAGTTTTAAAAAACTTCTTTTAGTTCAGTTCTGTTTATGAAAGTGGGACATACAACTGATAGACAAGAATTACAAACATGCAAACAGCATGTTCTTCTTCACTCTACAACTATAGTCCTGCTGGACACGTTATTACTGGTGACGTAAATATAGTTAATAATGAGGACCTTAAATCATTAATTTTTAAATGGGCCAAAACTTAGGGAACCCAGATCTTTTAACTGGCGTCAAAAAAAGAACTTACGACTAAGTCTGAAAACTTGAGCTGAATGTAAGATCTTAAAAAAATATTAATTCTGTTAAAAACTGGCATGTGCAAAATATATCTTTAAACTCTTTGAAAATATTACTAGTACAATTTTTGAATTAATATAAGGAAGAAAATTATTTACAAAATTACATTTTGGTCATAGTCGTAAGTTCTCTTGCAAAACGGGACCCTGGTCTTCCAACAATCTATCGGAATTCCCATGGGTATCAATTATAGCCGTTATTAGCAGACCTATTTTTGTATCATATGAAGCAGAATTTGTTCAAAATCTTATACGTGAAAAGAAGACACTTGCTGTGACCTTCGACTCGACATTTAGATATATCGACGACGTAATTGTCAATTAACAATGGTTATTTCCATTCTTATGTCGATACGATATATCCCGGTGAGCTTGAAATAAAAGATGCCACAGAGTCTGACACATCTGTTTCATATTTGGATATTTTACTAGAAAAAGACGTTAATGGTAATCTAACAACCAAGCTTTATGATAAACGTGATGACTTCAACTTTTCAATCGTCAACTTCCCTTACTTATGCAGCAATATACCTTCATCACCTGCATACGGGGTTTATATCTCTCAGTTGATTGGATACGCAAAACATGCTCTACGTATGAAAAATTTCTAAAACGAGATAAGTTATTGACAAACAAGTTGATGAAACAAGAATATCAGCAGTCTCGTTTAAAGTCGTCATTTCGTAAGTTCTATTGTCGATACAATGACCTTGTCAGCAAATACAGTTCATCATTAAGTCAAATGCTGGCTGACTTTTTCATACTAATTGTTAGGCCATTATTTACATACTGAATTGTCGACGGATTTTCCCGTTATTTCCCGATAATGACAAGGAGCACACGGCGGGTATGACCAGTCGGCAGGGGATGCTCACTCCTCCATGGCACCTGATCCCACCTCTGATGTTTTAGGGGTCCATGTTTGCTCTGCTCCAAAATTTGTATTTTTTAATGGACTTCTGAGCTTGAATACAGTTCGTTATCTCCATACATTCCACATAATAAGAATTTGTTTGTTTGCTTATTGTTTAACGTCCCTCTCGAGAATTTTTCACTCATATGGAGACGCCACCACTTGCCGGTGGAGAGCTACACATTTTGACCAATACTCGGCACTCAGGGCTCTTTTTCGTGCCAGCACCACTGCGACACGGGACCACTGTTTATACGGTCTCATCCGAAGGACCGGTCTCCACGTCCCACAGTGGGATTGGAACCCGCGACGTAAGGATCAACTCCTTATTCCGCGATTCTAGAGCTCCACATATTCTTTAACCAACCTGTATATTTTATCCACCTCCTAACCCTTTATAGTGGTCTTTACAGACCAATAAACTCGCTTGTTGTGAATTTGTTGTTGGATGGCATAACGAGTTTATTGGTCTGTAGAGACGTCTTTATAGTCGTCTTCCTGTCTGTTTGTCTGCTTGTTTGTCCGCAAAAACTTTAAGCTTGCCCATAACTTTTGATTGGTTGGAGCTATGGCTTTAATATTTCATATGTGTATTCCTTGTGACAAGACCTTCCTTTAAGTACAAACACATTTGACCTCTTGACCTTGGAGTTTGACCCACTTTTGCAACAATTTACCCAACTTTAACCTTGGTCATAACTTTTGAACAGTTTGTGCTAGGACTTTCATATTTCACATGTGTATTCATCGTGACAAGACCTTTCCACAGGTGTAAATATTTTTGACCTTTTGACTTTGACCTTGGAGTTTGACCCACTTTTAAAAAAACTTTAACATGGCCATAACTTTTGAACAGTTACTAGTAGTACTAGGGCTTTCAAATCTCACAGTGCATATTTCTTGTTACAAGACCTTCCTTTGGATACAAACAATTTTGCCCTTGGAGTTTGACCTACTCTTTTAAAATTTTTTACCTTGGCCACAACTTTTGAACAATTGATGCTGGGGCTTTTATGTTTTTTTTATGACAAGGTCTTACCCTGCGTACCATTAATTTTGACCCTCTGACCTTGACCTTGGACTTTGACCCGCTTTTAGAAAACATTAACCTTGACATAACTTTTGAATGGCTGGTGCTTTGACTTTCGTATTTATCGGGTATATCCATTGACACAAGTCCTTGTTTAGGTAACAATTTTTTTGATATCTTGACCTTGACATTGGATTTGACATGCATACGGGGGCATCAGTATTTCACAAACATATCTTGTTTTAATTTTAAGAAGGGTCCGTGTTTCCCAACCGGGGGAGGGGGACTAACTTCAATTCTTTTTTACTTTTACATACAGCTGTATAACTATTTAACTCTGAAAATCCTAAGGGGTGGAGTGGGGTGTTCGAAATCCCCCTCTCTAGATTCGTGCATGGGTGAGAGAGTATTATCATATATACTTGGCCAGTTCTCCTCTTAAGAAGTTTTTGTCTGTTTCATATTAATTCTTTTTAATCTTTATAAAGCACGTGATGTGACTCTTCTTTCGTCGTTCCCAACATTACGTGTTGAACGTCATTTTCTTTGTGATAGTAAAAATTGGACTAGTCCACTTATTGGATAAAACGAGAAATAAAATAAGAAGAGAAACTAAAAAACATTACTTAAGTGATACCTGCCCATTTACGATATGTTAGTGTTTTAAAATGAGACGAATAAAAATTCTAAAGGTCGAGAATCAGCAAACTACTGGCCGAAATAACACACCCGTCCGAAATAGCAACACTTTCCCCTATTTAATCCCTTGAAGCTATCCTGTCCATTTATTAAAATAAGCCAAGAAAAAGATTTACACGCGACATTTGGCGCGAAATCATTTTATTACCTCTTTCCTAGAAGACAAGTGGACTAATCCAGTTGTATAGAAACGCAGAAAAAAAGGTTACACGGACATGTTCCTATAGGGAATCATGCGTGCAACAACAACACACTAAAGGAAGTAAACACATAAATACTTTGCATCAGTAATATGATTGTTGTTGTTCAAAGGCAGGTAGAAATTTAGCCATGGAAAAATTTATCCTTAACCTACCTGACACTCTTGGGGTCAGGCTAAAAATTAGGTCTGCGTTTGGGAACAATAGAGATTAAAGGAAAAGAATTACTTTTAGATAGTGGAAAATGAGTAATTTAAGTATTATTATGAGAAATTATGTATATCAATTGAAACAAAAACAGCAAAACATGATCACCTAAGAAGGTACTGACTTCTCACTTACGTTAATATATATCAATAATAGTTTAAAACTAAAATTTAATGATTCCTTTGATAGAACTTGCAAAATTACTTACCAAAACTGATTGAATCGTCATATGACATTAATGCTGAAAAAAAGTGAAAGAAAATTGATCTTCGGATGAATGGACTTTTTGTTGCGTGCTTTTGTTTATGTGCCAGTTTTTCGGTCCAATTAAATGAAAAAGGCAAGAAAACCCCTGTTTCTGCCTTCCTTTTATCAGATACAAGACTCCTCTTCCCCCATCAATTTCAAAAGACTCTGCGGAAATACACCCTTTTTTAGACCACACTTACTTATGTGTTAGCTATTCCGGTTTTCCCGATTGAATGCCCCTTTATTATTAGTTCAGTAAATATTTATCCAGGAATTTTAGAAGAATTTTAAAATCAGTTTTCAGTCCATTATGTATATCTGTTTACAGTAGTTTTATTAGCTCACCTGAATCAAAGGCTAAAGTGAGCTTTTCTGATAGATCGTCCTGCGTACGACTGCCTGGCGTTTGTTAATTGCAATCTTTTCACATTTCATTCTTCTAAACAACTTGGCTAATATTAGCACACCCTGTTCACAAAAATTCCTTGGTGAAAAGGTGATTTGTATTCGAGGGGAGATAAGAAATACAGTGAAAATATGTTGGCAATTAAAAAAAGGCATAAAGCTCTGGGCCAGAAAAAATAAAACTTATATAAAATCTTTCTTATCAGGTTGAAATTTAAATGTGTTCAAAACATAGGCGTAGGACTGGGCCACAATAGGGGACCAAAGTTTTACTTGGGAATATATAGGGAAAAACCCTTTAAAAAATCTTCCTGCAAAGGACAGCAAGACGTTAATTTATGTTATTATACTTCTGTTAAAATGTTTCCTATATAAAGTTAAAAAGGTAAACTAACTATCTTTATAGTCTCAAAATTTCCACACATAGCAAAGCTATACCCCGGGGTATAGTTTTTGCTATCCACCCCTCAGAAAATTTTCATGCAATTTTTGCCGCCAAGTTTGATTTCCTGTAATCAATCTATAGACTTATGATGTCATCCTGACTTCAATAGCATTGTGACGTCATCAGGATTTCAGCTCATTCTAGCAGTGTTATCTTATTCCAAATACTTGTTCAAAACTTTTATAATTTTTTTTTTCATGTTTTTACTATCGAACTGTAGTATCAGGTAAATCCAACCCTCAGAAATTATGATACACATCAGTATAATAAAACTCTTATCCACTGGCTGTGAGTGGGATAGCTCTTTCATCAAACCCTTGACAGGAACTATTCCCCTCGGGCAAGCCCTCGGGGAATAGTTCCTGTCGCGGGTTTGATAAAAGAGCTATCCCACTCACAGCCAGTGGATAAGTGTATACTATTACTTTGCAGGCATCCTCAGATAATGCAGTTTCAAGTTTTCGAATCATACCCCAGGGGTTAGGATGGAATCACAATAGGGGATAAATATTTTACAAAATCTTTAAAATCTTCTTCTCAAGTACAACTGAGCCAATGCCCCTGCTACGGATGAAT